GCGGGGCGGGCGTGGGCGGCCAAAGTGAGGAGCCTGGCCCGTATCCTAATTCCAGTAGCCACAGAGCAACACCCCCAGTGCTCTGCCTGCCCTCACCCCACGACACGGGCTCCCTGCCCCTCTCCTGCTCAGCCGGGTGGCTCCTCGTGCGGCCTGCAGCACCTGTGACATCAGGAGCCGCGCTGAGGCAAGGGCAGCGTGGCCAGGTTCCTGGCCGTGCCCATTGGGTTTAGGGCTGGAGCTCCGTCCCTGGGAAGGGACAGGAACCCCGGGCGTGGCTGGACTCTGTGTCCTGCCACACGACGTGGGTGGGCCGCTGAGCTGCTCACTGCGTGTCACGGGTCTCCCACCAGCTCTGCGTTCGGCTAACGGGGGGCGAGCAGGCAGCGCTGCTGTGCGAGGCCGTGTCCTGGTGGCTGGAGAGGCTGCCATTTCAACAAACCCCACTCCCTCCTCTGAAGCAGAGCAAAGAGCAGCGGTCGTGTTAAGGAGCATCCCTTCTGGCCACCTGACTCTGCTGCTTCCTGTCCTTCTCTTCGACTCAAAGCTGCCGGGCACCCATCCCCCAGCCTTGGGTGGGAGCCTGAGTGGGGAGGAGGCCATGGCGTGTGGCAGGCAGCTGAGAGGAGCGCGGGTGGGAAGCAGCTGTCCACAGCTCATGACAAAATCCTCTTTCTTCCTAACCACCTCCCTCCTTCCCGCCCCCCTCCTCCCTCCTTCCCACCTCCCTCCTTCCTTCCTTCCCGCCTCCCTCCTTCCCGCCTCCAAGCATCTACAATCTGGCGCACACTTGGCTCCCAGACTCGCCGGAGGGACGGACATGGTGGGCGGCCTCCGCTGGACAAGTGGGACCACCTGCCGGACCCCTGCTTGACTTTCCGGAGCCCCTGCTCTCCTGGGGCGCCGCCTTCAGGCCGGGGAGGGAAGAGCCTCTTTGCAGACCCTGCGGCCTGGCCAGCCCGGCTTCCCATGCGTTATACACAGAGTTGGCGCACGCTGCCTTTCCCACAGACGCTGCCTCCCTCCACGCGGCCAGAAGTTCTTCCACAGCCTGGGACTGAGAGCTGGGCCCCGGCTCCGTTCCCTCCACATTCCAGCTGGCCCACCTCCCTCTGCCGCCGCAGGGCCCTGCCCCGCAGCCTGCCCTCCGGGTGACATCGGAGCAGACTTCCATGTGCTGTGGCGGGTGGGGAGGACTTGACAAACACTAGGACCTAACACTGTCTCCTTGCTGGAACCAGAGGCCATAGCACCGCAATGCAGCGTGGGCCCTGGCCAAGGCTCCCGCAGCCCACGGTGGCAGTGCCCGCGCTGGCCGCCATCTCAAAGCCATTCCCCAGCCATCGCTCCCGGGCACCGCCATCGTCTCGACAGCTGGCTCCTCCCCCTCACGCCTGGGGGTTTCTTTTGATTTCGAGAGCAGCCTTAACATTTCAGTTGGTTTACGTGTATACCTCATGAACATCTTCTTTGGTTTCTCCTTCTCCCTCCGCCTCTCCTTTGCTCACCCCTTGACTCTCCTCCCTCCACCCCTCCGTGACTGACGGTTTGGTCCCTCGCTGCTCAGTCCCTGCTCAGCACAGGGAGGAGGCTGACTCCGAAGCAATAGTGGGCAGCAGGCCGCCCAGAGCACAACCCGGGGCGAGGCCTCAGGAGCCCGCCGCCTGTTTACTGTGCAATCCAGTCCTTCTTAAGCCATCACCGGGCGGCTCGCAGCAGAGGCCCGGCTTCTGGCCGGGCGGACCCAGCGCCCTGGACTGGGGAGTGTGGCTCCCTCCACCCACCCGGTGGGCTGGGCGGCCGCCCTCCCCAGGCCCTGCCCTGGGGGACTTTCTGTCTCTTGGGCACAGCCACAGTCTCATCTCTAACGTTCTATGCAATGAAATAGAAACCTTCAAAGACAACTGTTAATATTTAATAAATTCCATGTTATGTATAAGGAGTTCATTGCAAACATGCAATTGAGAAACTGGATAGATATGCTCATCTCAGACCCCTCCCCGCCGCCCGCTCCCCTGTGGCTCTGTCTGTGGCATGTTTGACCCGTGGCCGGGCGCTGACGCCGGCGAGTCGCTGCCCCGTGGAGCATGCACTCGCAGCCTCTTTGCACGCTCTCACCCATTTCCAATGCCCGACCCTCTTGCTTGGAGTCCTTGTTGCCTCAGAACCTCCCCTCCAGGAGTGTCCGCTGCCTGTGCACGAACTAGCAGGGGCCTGCCGGGGTGCCGCCGGAGCTCGCCAAGATGGCAGGCGAGAGGCGTCCCGGTGGACACGCGGTGAGGCCTGCTGGGGGCGGGGGGTGTGCGGGAGCATTCAGAAGGCTCCCCTCACCCAGCCTTGAGCCAGAGGCATCCGGCCACCCCTACCCTCGGGGGCAGGGCTGGACTGTGTCTGTGGCCTGACAGGCCCAGGGCAGGGCCTGGCTGAGTCCTAGGGCCCCGGCCCCTGGCTGGCTGCTCCAGGTCCCTCCCCTGTGGCTGGAGGCGCAGAGGTCTGTGAGCCAGGAGGTGGCTCCAGGGGTCAAAGGGTGCTCAGGAGAGCTGGACATCAGGCCCTCGTGGCGAGGGCAGCTGAAAAGGTCATCTCGGACCGAGCAGGTGTCCCCACAGGCAGCGGCTGCAAGCCCAGTGTCTTGGGAGGCTTCTCATAGCAAACCCTGAGGCCGCTCTGCCTCTGTCCCCAGGCCCTGCACTCCTGCCACCCTCATCGCTGGAGCCTGGCCTCCCGCTGCTCGCTGCATCCCTGCCACTGAGCCAGGAGCCGGCAGGGTGGCTGCCGCCCCGGCCCGGCCCCTCAGCGCTCTGGTTTGCACCGTGCATTTCTCAGGGTCCACATTTCCATGCTTCCCATCAGGTCTACACGGCCCTTCAGAGAGGGATCCTGGCCGCTTCGGGGGGGATAGGAGGTGTCGACCTCTGTGTTGGGCCTGAGACCCTGGTCCTCCAGGATTTGGGCCTCACGCATCCCATGGCACTTGCCTCCTCTGAGACCAGGGCTCCGGGCGGCGGTCTGAGCAAGGGCTGAGGGGGGCCACCTCCATCACCTCTGACCGCCCAGGGCCAGCTCGGTACTGGGGGCCCACAGCAGCTCTCCTGCCACTGAAGCCGGGGTGGGCAGCAGCAGGCAGGTGGCTGCAGGCGGCTCCATCAGACCCGGCCTCAGGCTCTGACATGCTAACTTTTCAGCAAATTTCCTTCTGGCCGAGCCTCCGAGTTTGAAAGGTCTGACATCTGTCCCTCCCCATCCCCAGCGTACACACAGGTCACACCTGTGCCTTCACTCCTGTGAAGGCGGCTGGAGCAGGCCTCGGGCACAGGCGTCCCGGCCCTCCTGTGGATGCTAAGGGACCAGCACTCGGGGCCGTGGGCAATGGGGAGCCCGGGCATATCTCCAACAGGAGAGGGTCCCTAGGACGCCGTCCAGGCCTCTGCATACCTGCCGCCCAGCGTCAGAAGCAAGGGCATTCATTTCACAGCGACACCCCCTCCCCGCCATCTGCTCCGTCCCGGGGAGAGCGAGGTCTCAGCCGTGCTGAGGGCAGCATGGCAGCCTGGCCCCGCCCGCCCTGTGTCCCCTCCCCCACTTTGTAAATAGGTGTCATCGTGGACTCGACAGGGTCAGAGTGACAGGCCTGGTCAACTGAAACTCCTCAGAGATGTCACCCGTCTCCCTGGGCACCCAGCCTGCCCCCCGAGAGCCGTGGAAGTGGTGACACCGTGCGTGCATGTGACCTGGTGTGAGTGGGTGTGTGTGTCCGCCTCCAGCTCTGACCCCGTCAGCCCCCTGCAGGCGCGGTGCCCTGGCTGCAGCGTCCAGCCTCGCCCCTGCTGGCTGCCTCCCCCTCCCCCCCTGCTTCCCTTCAGTCCCTCCCCCCTTCTTTCTCTCCTTCTTTATCTGAGGGGGGGAGTGCTGTACAAAGTCACACAAACAAGTTTACAGTTGTAAGTGCAATGACCGAGCCCTCCACATGACCTTGTGAAGTGTGTGCGTCCTCCGTGCCCGTGAGAACTCGTGCTACTTCCGTGTCCCTCCCCTGTGCTGTGACGAGGTAACTGTGGCATCAGAATAAAGGACTTGATATCCACAACCTGCAGACTGTCTCGGGTGGTTTCTGACGGGGGAGGCTCAGCCAGAGGAGCACACCCCCAGATCGAGACAGTCCTGTCCGTGGAGAAGCGTGAAAGGGCAGAGTGCGCAGGTGCCAGCCAGGCAGGGCCAAGGCCACGCGCTGTCCACGTCGCAGCCCCCACTGAGGCGCCCCGGCAGGTCCCAAGCTTGGCCCTGGAGGTGGTGCCTCCTCCGCCTGTGCCCAGTGTCCAGGCTGCACAAACCGCTTTCTGGGCCCTGGTTCCAGGGAGCCGGGCGAGCAGGTGCTGCCCCTCCCCTCCCCCCCGATACCGCCAACAAGTCCTACACCCGCCTGCCTGGCTGTGTCTGCTCCAACCCCCAAATTCAGGGGCTGCCAGACCTCAGTCCTGCCCCAGAAGGATGGGTGAGCCTTACTAAAGGAGCCCAGCGTTGCTAGGCAACTTTAAGACCACAGATCAACAAAAAGAGGCTCACCCTGGCCTCTGGCCTTCCGCCCCCTCCCCAGGTTAGCACCTTGATGCACGTCCTTCTTGTTTGTATTTTTCTATTCTTTTTCATTTTATTTTTTTAAAATTATTTATTGATTTCAGAGAGGAAGGGAGAGGGAGAGAGAGACAGAAACATCAATAATGAGAGACACTGATCGGCTGCCTCCTGCACGCCCCCCACTGGGGATCGAGCCCGCAACCCGGGCCTGTGCCCCCGACTGGAATAGAACCCAGGTCCCTTCAGTCCGCAGGCCGATGCCCTATCCACGGAGCCACGCCAGCTGGGACTCTTCCTTGTCAGTTTACACAGAAGTTGGAAGGCCAGCTCCTCCCGTTGTTTCTGCATGTTCACCCAGGGACTTGGGTGGCCACCCCGGTGCCCAGCCTCATTTCCAGCGGGCCCACTGCACAGCCCCGTGGACAGGCACCGTGTCCCCGCTTTCCCGGTGCAAACACCGCTGGAGGAACCGCCCAGTCGCCAGCCTTCCACCCCACTGGCGGCCGGGCCACTCTTCCTGTCCGGGTCCTGCCTGGTTTGCTCACAGTGCCAGCGGCCTCCGGACGTGAGGACTGTTTTTCCTGAAGGAGCTGATGTGGCTGATGGGGAAGGCGGGCGGATTGCGGCCAAAGGCAGGGCAGGGCACGGAGCCAGGGCCCTGGGGTGTGGGAGACCAGCCAGGCTCAGGGCACAGGGAGAAGGGACATCCCTGCTGGCCCGGCTGCTGCCCAGCCCCTCCCTCCCCCCTTGGCCACCAGAGCCGCTGGGTCCTGGGCCACAGGCAGCTCTCCGGCTCTGGGTGAGCTGGACCCCACCAGGTCCTCTGCACCCAAGAGCTTGGACTGCGGCCGGGGAGGCAGACGTCACTGAGTGGGGTGGGTGAGGGCTGAAGGGACCGATAGCTCGCGGGGCGGGCGTGGTGGCTGATAACGACACCCCGAGGGCTCAGCAGCCCGCCCTGAGGCCCCCACCCCA